GTATCACCTCAGTCAGGTGACCCCACAGTTTACCTGAGGCTCATTACACGAAGGAAACTGAAGCATTTCCATGTGTGTGCTCTTCAGGCGCTGGAGGAGGAGTTCGCCAGGAAGCTGCAGGAACAGGAAGTGTTCTTCAAGATGAGCGGCGAGTCGGAGTGCCTTAATCCCTCCACCCAGACCCGCATCTCCAAGTTCTATCCGATCCCCAGCGTCCAGTCCACCGGCTTCTAGAGGACACCGACGTCTGCACACACACGGACAAACGAACGGATGCGCCGACGGAGACGGTGAAGACTGAGCCGTGCTGCCTTTGACCTCTGACCTCTGACAGACTTTTCCTCTGTTTTCTATCAGGATCCATTTGAAGGAGAGTTCGTGTGAAGCGCTCAGTCCAACCTCCCTGAAGTATTTTTCTAAACAGTGCAGTGCCTGCAGAGTGTCTGCATTTAAATTCAATTAATTCCCAATTTTATTTGCTGCTCGACGTTTTTCCCGTTTAGATTTTTGCACAAAAGAAATGATGAAAACTAGTTTTACCACTAAATCTGAATAAATAAGATCAGTAAGAATCACTTTTAAGTGATGATGAAGGAGAATGTATTGCAGATAAAAGAGGAGCCTCCTGTCGAAGGGCTGATGACGTTTGATGAACTCGTACATATCTGTGTGTGCTAGAACCTTAGCTCGTGATCTGATGCATGACTTTAATGCAGCGTTTAGGAACTTTTACTGCAGGTTTTTCTTCAGAATGCCTTCAGTCTTGAGCTCAAGACTATTAGTTGTTTAGGAACAAACCCCGTGAGGAGGGTGGAGACTGTTAGGAAGTCACTGTGGCGACAGGTGGAAAGCATTTACGCACCCGTCAGCTGGGTCATTTTCCTTGTTGTTGTCTGTAGGAATGATATTCAGGGATGAAGAAGGAATACAAACTGCAGTTTTTAAGACAAATAACCGGACGATGATGTGACGCCGCGATCTGATTTTAGGGTTTGAGCGAGCTTCCCTTCAGAGTCATCTCCTCGTGTTGCTCTGGATTATTTCTGCTCTTGTTTTAAAACGTTTCCCCACAAACACGTCTGCACTTCTGTTTCACACAGATTTGATTTTCACGTTCTCGCCTGTTTCTCAAATTATTTTCTTCCACATTCAGTGTTCGTCTCTCCTCCACTATTGATTTATTGAAGGATGCTTTCACAGAGCTCTCTGCTCACCACCTGTCGTCCTCGGCAGGTTCGTTGATGGAGGCACTTCACACAGGCACAGTGATACAAAGTGACTGCTGTAGAAAATAGTCCCGAGGAGCACAAGGAGATGATCTTAACCGAGAGATCAGTTAAACTAAGTCACATGACTCCATCACACCTCACATTTGCCTCGTCTGTATTGTTGCTGCCACATGCAGCTCAGCAGGTTTGGACTGTAACACTGTTTTAGCTACTAGCCTTAATGCTACAGACGTGGATACCCTGCATACCTGTTGTGACTGCCTTTGAAGGAATTCTGAAGCTTATTAACAGTTATCGAGGAGGTGCGACGGCTCTTTATTAAAAAATGCACAACATGAGCTTTTTGCAGTTTTTTTTTTTATTATTATTATTATTAAATCTGATGTAATGTTATAAAAAAAATTGGACCTGACTGGTTTAGGCCATCTCCTCCTCTGATTGGTTCATTTGATCATCTCATCTTCTTTGATTGGCTGTTATTAGTTAGTCAAAGGTGTTTCATATCATATGTACAAAAAAACTAAACTCAGTGAAGGAGTGCTGTGCACCTTTTACAAAACGTCCTCAGCAGTTATTTATGTACGAAAGCTGATCGTCCACCACAAACAGTTACAAAATTCTGGTTCTTAACTTCTGAATGTTGACTATAAAACAAACATCACATTTTATAACATGTATAGTTTTTAGAAGGCCTGTAATGCTGATTTTCATTTTCATGTAAATAAACTTTTCTCTCTAACGTTGTGCTGTTTTGTTCTTTACATGGATCCCAAGACTTGAAACACAAACTCCAAAAAACATAAAATACTTGGTCTGATGGGTAAAAAATGAAATGGTAAAGTTACCACAGATGACCTAATTCAATACGACGTCCCTGATTTCAACACATTTACAGTTAAAACACCAGCGAAACGCAGGAAACGACTTTCAGCAGCTCAGGCGTCAAACACCAGCATTCCTCTTCCTCCTTTTACTCGTCACTGCGAATTCTCCTGAAACAGCAGAAAACCTTCAGTTAAGTTTTAAAATCACTGAAAGAAAATCGTTCCCACAAAAACATTTCAGTCAAAATTCTGCGTTTTTCACAGACTGTGGAAAGAAAAACAAAAACAGTTCTGGGTCTGAAAAAGGAATTCGTGTAGAGGTTTAGACATCTGCTTGTGTAGCAAAAGGTCGCTGGCTTTATTCCAGCAGTTGACACAAATGCCTTCGAGGTTGAGTCAGGAAAGTCTGCTGACTCAAACATGAAGTGTGTTGAGCCTGCATTCTCTTAAACGAACAGCAGGGGGCGACTCGTCTAGCTGCAAACAATCAGCCTCCAGAGAAGAAAAGTTCAGCTACGACTGAAATGCCAAATAAGCAGCATTAAAAAGCACGTTTATGGCTTTTTGTTATTTTAGAGTACCAACCAGTGGCTGATGAATGCTGAACATTTACAAACAGCTTATTGCTGCAGAAGCAAAGGTTCGCAGTAACGACTGCATTCAGTGAACATTGTTACCAGTTTGACAGTTTGTTACCCCGACAACGTGTCGAGTCCCGCCCTTTCTCAGACTCCTCCCTCACTGACAGCCGTCAGCTCGAGGCTTCATATCAGGGCTTTACTGCATTACCATGGTGCCTACGTCCTGTTTGCTCACTTTGATGAGCTGTTTAGTTGAGTTTAACTTTGCCAGTTTTGGTGAAGTAGCTACAGAAATGTTAACATCAGAAGAGTCTGGATGGATGAACAGCACAACAGGCCAGAGGAAAGCCTTAAACTGTTCTTTTAAACTCTGTTTCCCACGAGCAACACTGACCTCTGTCCCCTTTTGGGCCTCCGTACACGTCATGTCCAGGAAGGCCTCGCTCACCTGTGTCCACACACAAAAAACACATCTTAAGATTATAAACCGACGCGTTAAATGTTGTGACACTACCAAAGAAGTCCACGATTTCCTTTTACTGCACCTCTCTCTCCTTTCAGTCCTGGAAATCCCCTCTCCCCCTTCTGGCCTGGTCTCCCAGGTGGTCCCACGATGGCTCCATGAGCTGTGGAGAACACACTCGGTGGTTAAAACACATCCACATTCTGCTGCACCATGCTGCTGCTATATGTCCTTTACTTTTTATATATTCCACTAAATCAGAAACGTTGGTGTCAGAACCAAACAGTCTGCTGTATCCTGGTGGACCCGGAGGTCCCGGTGGCCCCGGGAGTCCCTGGATGACACGTTCAGTGTCACGGAGGAGACCACGAGCTGCGACGGGGCCGAGGCGAAGTGTTAACCAGCAGTCCTTTCAGACGTGCTTTACTTTTGCCCGATAGGACAGTCACTCACATTTGATGTATTCCACCAGATCTGTGGCGTTACCATGGGAATCAAGCCAGTGGCTGTATCCTGGATGACCTGGGGGTCCTGGGGGCCCTGGAGGGCCTTGAAAGACATGTCTGTACTCCCTCATAATGTCCCGCACTACACCATGAGCTGCAGATCAAAGGAAACAGGGTGATACAAATGTCACAATTAAAGAGTGTTTAGCATTGTTTATTTAACAAACGTCCAGCAGGGGGCAGCACCTCTGGATACAAAACAAAGCGTCACACATTAAACTAGCATCTTAAAGCTTCAACACAAGAGTCCACAAATCCGCCAGTAGTATCACAGTGGACACACCATTGGTTTGGGCTGTCTATATCTCTCGAGGTAGAGCAGCTCATCTACTAATCAAGTTGGTGGTTTGATCCCAGTCTGCATGCCAAATATCCTTGGGAATGATATTAACCCCATGTTGCTCTCTGATGCATCCATTAGAGTGTGAATATTAGATATAAGTGTTGTATTCAGTACTTTGAGTGATCAGAGTAGAAAAAAGTATATGAGAACAGTCCATTTACCATTTTATATACATAACCGTGCACTTCAGTGTCAGTTATAAAGGAAACCAAAGGTCAGGTTGACTTACATTTTAAGTATTCCACCACATCCATGACATTTTGTTGGGAACTAACCAATCGGGCCTCTCTAGGCATTCCTGGAGGTCCTGGAGGTCCTTGAACCACGCGCTCAGAGTTGCTCATGGCATCATCGAGCAGACCGTGGGCTGCATGATTTAAGAAAACGTGTTTAAACAGATTCAGTCTGAAGTTAATCGTATTTTTTTATAAAGCGTGACGGCCACCTACATTTGATGTAATCAGTTACTTTGAGAGCCATACTGGAGTAGTCGTCAGGCAAACCTGGCTCTCCCTTGTGTCCTGGGGGTCCAGGAGGACCTGGTGGACCAGGAATTCCAAACATGGCGGCACTCGCATCATCACCTGGAGGAAAACACAGCACAGTCTAAGTTCATTAAACTGTAGCTTCTCTACCCACGATTCTCTGTAACACTGATCACCATCTATTCCCCCCAAAGAAAGATTGTAGAACCAAAGAATATCTGGATTTTAAATGGGCGAAGCATTGCTTTAAACTCACTCTTGATATATTCTTGTAGTTCAGCTTTGAGTGTGTCTCTGTTGAGATGGTCAGCTAAAGTAACCAACCCACTGATTGGTCCAGGGGGTCCCTCAGGTCCAGGGGGTCCGGGTGGGCCTGGAGGACCTTTGAAAGCAACATCTGTAGGAGGGCAGTGGAGAAGAGGACCAACAGTGAGACGCAGTTTCTCTCTTTGAGAAGGTGGAGTGAAAGATTTCTGTCAAACTCACTTTGCAGGTAGTCACGAATGTCTGAGCTGATGTATTTAAAAAATCCAGGTGGTCCAGGTGGTCCTTCCGGGCCAGGTGGACCTTGTGAGCCAGGGATACCCGGGGGACCAGGAGGCCCCTGAGGGCCAACTAAAGTTTGATACCCATCTAGTTGGATAATATATTTATTGGATTAGTAATGGTACTAAATCACGGTGAACTTGAGGTATCTTAAAGTCGACCCACTCAGCTGGGTTCTGGCTGTGGGTCAACATTGAACAAGACCTGTTTGTTTCACCCAGACCAAAATGGTTTGGCCTCAAAGTCAACCATCTGGTCTAACTGCAGAGATTTGTGATGCTTCTTACCTGGTAAAAAGTTTCCAGGAAAGCCAGGAGCTCCAGGTGGTCCGGGAGGTCCAGGAGGTCCAGGGACACCAAGCGCCTCCCTCTCTGCAGAGAGACCAGGATTATAGTCAGACACAACAGAGGACCTTTTTGGTAGGTTGCCTGTAAGACTGTCACACCTACCAGACATCAAACTAAGGACACGTTCAGCCACCTCCTGTGTGTTAAAGCTGTAGCTGCCATAGCCTGGAGCTCCTGGAGGTCCCTGTGGACCCGGAGGACCAGCAATGTATCGCCTCACGTCCTCTCCTGGAAACAAATGATAGGATTCATCACTTTTGGATTCTCATGAAACAATTTTGTATTTCTTTCATTGTAGCAGATGTTGACGGTGTAGCAGAGACTTACTCTGTAAGAGGCTGATGATGTCATTGAGAGAGACGGAGCCAGGTGGACCCGGAGGACCAGGAGGGCCTGGGGTCCCGTCATAACCTCTGCCTGAACCTGAAACAGCAACAGTTACGGACCTTCACTCACACGTCTTGTGTACCATCCTGTGGAGCATTATCATGTGATTGACCATACTGTGGATGTAGGCGATGACTCTGCTGGCGACATCATCAACCAGCCCGTCCACTGCATGTCCAGATGTGCCTGGTTCCCCCGGAGGCCCAGGAGGCCCAGGAGGTCCAACGAAGTACTCTCTGATGCCACCACCTGATGTCAAAGCACATTTATTCAACATTTTTATCCATATGTAGATACCGAGTTGAAATACCAGGTTCAAACATAGTTGCAAGCAGCGCAAGTACAATGAAAGCTACAAGCAGCCATGCAGTTCAGCAGGGCGCCATGTCCAAAGCGAGGCTGAAAGCACCTCCCAGGGTTCAGGTGATGCTCATGAGGGGGCGACAAGTCCAAGATCGTGGATTGGAAGACGGAATCATGGCTCGGAAAATATTTAAACTCAAAGAATAACAAAGTGGACACATGACAACTGACAGCTGATGGTACAACTTTTCATGTCCTGGTCTTTAAAGAATTATTCTATAATTATTGCCGCATCCTTTTTAGTTGCAGGATGTTTTGTGTATATGTATAGTATATGTACCAAATTGGAATTTGACAAATACTTCCAATTTTCCCAACTTTGTGGCTGATTTATGCTAGCTGTGATGGATGAGGACATTAAAAAATGAAAAATCTAAACCCTAACATCTGCGAGGCTTGGCCCGAAGATCATCTATCCCAGTTTTATCCCAACTGTGACCTTTGAATTTTTCTTTAATCCCGAATTTCATTTCATTGGATGCTTTAAAATCAACACGATCCAAAGATTCCAAGTTTCGTCATTTTATATAAAGCAGTTCAAAATTACATGCATAAACACAAGTCCAATTCTAGCCCATAGGTGGCGCTGGAGTGCTTGAGGCGCAGATGTGAAGCTTGGTGGAAAAAACACACACGAAAAAACAAAATCAGGCATTTTTTGCCAAATTTGTTAATGTTTTAGTGTCTGCCATGGACTCCAGGGGGAGCTTCAAAGAAGAAGAATTTGATGGAGATGTATAAGAAAAGGGAGAAGCAGCGTGCCTGCGCAGCTTTGCCAGTGCACAGCTTACTCTTAAGGAATTCTGCAATGCACGG